ATATATTTTGTAAAATTTATAATGAAATAAGTTCAAGTGTTAATTCTTTAGCAAGAATAATATCAGGAAAAATTATAAGAATTTATCTCAAAAAAGCATAAAGTGATTATTCATATTCGAGAATCTTAAAGAATACTTTTTAAATTTATTAAATATCTAAATATCAAGCTTGAGATTTAAGTATTTGATTCAACATTTATATATAATACAGTAATTTAATAAACATATTTATCAATAGGATTGGGGATCTTATAAAAAAGTAGAAAAAAAAATATAACAAATTAGAGAGGATAGCCATTAAACTCTTTGAAATTTGATATTTTTATATACTAACTCATTTAAATAGATATGCAAAAAAAAGGGTTATTTCAAAAGTTATAAGTCGAACTGAAATTTATAGATTGATTTAAATAGATATAAATGAATAGGATTGGAATATGGGTCTAAAAAAAATTCATTCTCAAAAAAGGTTCTTTATTAATAAAATGTCATATAGTTAATTTTTAGAGTAGCCTTCTAAATTGATAAACTTTTAAAGAGTCATAGCAAAAGTATAGAGATAATTTTGAAGGATGACATCAATGTAAAGATATTCAGAAATACAATTATAATCAAGAAAAAATAGACATAAATAAGAGTTAACTTAATTTATATAATTTATTATAAGCAGAACATCTTCTTTTGTTTCATTAACCTTAATAGGTAAGGATAATTTACTTTATTTTGAAAAATAATGATAATTGTCTAAAAACTGAACGGCTTAAATGCTAAATCAAATTAAAAAAGAAATTTAGATTGGCTAAAAAATTATATTCTATGCTAACAAAATAGTCTAAATTTCACAAAAAATACTTAAAAATATTCTTTAAGATTAAGAATGATTTGATGTTCGAATAATTTCACTATCTATTAACTCTTACTATATTTGATCTTATTATAAACCTTTTGATTGAATTCATATTTTCCTCATTCAGTGCATAATCTAGTATTTTAAATAATATCATTTTAACAATAATATAGTTCAAAATATATAGAATATTTTATTTTTGATTTCTTGTTTAATGATTATTATTAACAAAATTGTATGCTATATATGCTAAATGTAATTAGAAGAAATAAGAAGAGTCTTGGAATTATATTTTATTTATTATATAAATAAAATTTGATTAAGTCGACTTGTTAAAAGGGTTTCAATGTTGGAAATCAAAGGTTATCTAATAGAATTGGATACAAAATATTATTATTAATGTATCAAATTTATTTAACTTCCTATTCAGTCTTCTACTATGGATATTTTCTCAGATATGATTAAATATTAATAATCTTCTAAATTTTATCAATTTTTATTCCCTATTCTGTTGAAATCAATTAATTTAGATTCTAAAAATATTCTCAAAAAAAAATAATTCAACAATTAATTCGAGCAATACTTAATTATATTCAAAATTTAAAAAAAATCAATAAACCTTTTTAATTATCATTTTAGTATTTTTATAGTTTGTTGATGTAAAATATTATAATTTTATTATGAGAAATTATTTAATTCTCTAATATATTATATACTATATAATTGAATATTATGAAATTTAAAGTAGGATTGAGAATAAATAATATAATAGTTCACATAATTATTCGGTAAATTATATATTGAATATGATTTATATATTTTAATGAAAAAAAACTCATAGAGATATGTAAATATTTGCGATAACTCAAAGAATTAAATTATTAGTTATTCTTTAAAGGTCTATATCTAATGAATCTAGTGTCAATATGTTCTATGAATTTTTTAGAATTATTATGATAATTTGAAGGCTTTTGTATTTATGATGATTCAGTAATTTACATATAATAGTGATTTCTCTAACAATACAGGTATACTTTTTATTATTCAATTTTTAATTTATCTTAAATGATATGAAGTAGCATTGATTATCTTCTTTAAAGCAGTTTAATATGATCCTAATTTAGAATTAACTTATAAATTTAAAGGTTTAGAAATTTCATTATTATATTAACTTAGAAGATTTTAGTATTTGTTATATATTTAAATTGAAAAACTACTTAAATGTAATTATTTGTTATGAAAGCTATTTATCTTGATACCAATTTTAAAAACCCTATTAGGCAAACATTAATTTTTGATAATATAATTAACTAGAGAGTCTTAATATGCTATACTTTATTAATTTTCTGTAAATACAATAATAGTTAGATGAATCAAAAAACAATTAAAACTAAAAAATGTAATATTGATAAATAATTTTATTTATATTCCAATTTTCTAGAAGAAAATAGTTGTTATCTATATCATTTATAAAAATTTAAATAATACCAACTTTTTTAATGAAAATATTTAATTTTGACTATTTTTGTATCAAATAACTCTTTATATTTCTAAAAACTCATTTAGAAACTTTCCGGGAAAGTAATAAATTAGAAAATTCAAAATCCCGTTTTATAAATGTCTTATCAATTCAAACATATTTTTCTAACAGGATAATTAGAAATTTTTATAAAATAGTTTATATATAAACTACGTATGTTTTTAAGTTTAATTTGGTGTTCTGTGCAGGAAACTAAAATGAATTATGGTTAATGATACTTTATACCTATTTAAACAAACCTATGAAGATCTAAATGCTTTGTTATAACCCCCAAAATATGATGGGTCTCTCAATTTTACAATAATATTTGAACTTAATTTCAAAAGGAATCTTGTTTGATCGGTCTAATTACTATCCCTGTTAAATTTAATAAATAGTGCCTTAATAATTGCATTAGCTATAAAAATACACATATTTGGAATTATTGTTGTTTAAATTGGAATTGATATATATTACTTTTATTGTAGAAGTTAAAGGCTAGAATTTAACAAAAAAAAAAGATTGAGATTCCATACATTGTTAATTTTGTATAATTTTTTATTCCTAACCTTAATAATTAATCTAATTAAAAAGATATAGTTTCTTTTAAGTGAAATTCATTAATGATTTGACTGATTTCGTCCATCCACGTTATAATAAATCCGGAATATTATTTCAAATAATGAAAAATTCACCATTGTAATTGCAATAAGAAAAGAACTCTGCACAATTAGGTTGAACAAAAAAAGCCTAATGTATGATAAGGAGGATTGAAAATTTCAGCTTCAACAGAAGATCACCATAATGATTGATCCGTACCCAATAAATATAAAATCTTACATATTCTATTTATGAATCTTAATAAATACTAACAGAAATATCAATACTTTATGATTATTCTTATTCAATCTAAAATTGTATATATTAACAATTTACTTTGACTTCCACTATTTGATTACTCTTTAATATGTTTCACACGATTCAAAGTTATTGATCCATTTGTTGCATCTTTAAACTCTTGATTTTTTGAAAACGTTATTGTTCTATCCCTGTACCAGTTTAAAGTTCCTATACATCATTTTATTAGAATGTTATAACAGAAATACTAGAATCCTAAAATGCAAACAATTTAATTCTTATTGCAAAAGTTAAGAAGCAGCTACTGCAAGAGTGTTCAATAGAAATCTTTTAAAAATGATAATTTAAATTATTTACCTGTTCTTGTTATAAGGGTAACTTCGACAAGTAATCTGTGTGGTGATTCTAAACTCCAATCATAATAATGTGGTGATATAAAATGTTAAGGTGTAGTATCAAAGGCAGTCTAAAAATTGATATCAGTTTATATCTACCTTGGATATATTCTTGAATTCTCTTAAATGTGATTACCTCCAGAAGTCATTACTGTTAGATCTCATAATTAATAGCTTGTTAAAAGATATCTTAACACAAATTATATGAGTGCTACAAAAATTAAGATAAGCATAATCTTTATAT